GCGAGACAATTGCACCATTTGGCCATACACCTCTTTGCCAGATATCCTTTATCTATCTTGTGGCACAGTAACCTTCATAGAAGCGTAGAGCTGCGGTAATTTTGGGGAATGTACCTACCTCACATTGCACTCCTGGAAAGTCTTGTTCCAGTGCTTTTTGGAGTTCTTCAGGTTTCGTATTGGGCGATAGCCGAGACACATGAAGTGATACATTTTTTGGGATGGTTTGTATATTGCTTATGGTGGTATTTCGACCAACAACGAATCTTCTTTTCTTGCGATTAATCGTTTGCCATTCACCCTTGTTGGAGCTGTTTATGCTATCGTACTCTCCTAAGCTTTGGATTTCCTGTACCTTGGACGCCGTTTGTATGTTCATTATTGCCGTATTAAGCTGATGAGTAGTGATAATATTATCCGAGTTGTTGTTTTTATTGTTTGGATTGTTTTTATTTACATTTCGGTTTGTTAGGTTAGGGTTAGGTTGGCCTCTGCTGGCATTTGTCAAGCTTACAGCCTTGGTTTTATCATCAGCTGATTTGGCCGTGACGTTTGCAAATGATGCTTTCTTATGAGGGTTATCAGCTGTTGCTTTTCCCTTGTGAATTGCATGTCCAACACCGTTGCCAATATTAACAAAATTGTTATGACCATTTTCATGCCATAGAAGTTTTTCCTGGATATGATCAATTTTTTCCTTCAATAAATCGTTATTTTCTTGTAGAATATTGTTCTTGGATGCCATTCCTATAATAAGTTTCAGCAACAAGGTGTTTTCAGCAGTGAGAACGTCGATATTTCCGGCTTCAATGTTTGCCGATCCATCAGCGGTTTTCCCTACGTTGCCTGCGACATTTGTGATGAGCAGCGTATGTTTACAATTTGCACTTTTTAACTACACTGATTCTTTCAAACAACTGGGATGAAAATATTCTTCACATTTTTTGCACTTTACGTAATCGCTAACACTTTTATTGCAGTGAAAACACTTAATTTTTCTAATAGCTCCAGAGGCACTTGCACCGTCTACCATGTTGCCAAGTAAAGGCTGACTCAATGACAGCGGGATTAGAAGAAAGTATTGTAGGTAATCAAAGAAGGAGTTAGAATTATGTTAAAGCCAAATATAGATGATAGTTTGGGTCTGATAAATGGTTCTAGGAGTTATTCAAAAAGTGAAATGGCATGCGGATCAGAATAAAAAAGTCAAAGCTCTTGAAACAAAATTTAACAATGAACTTCATTATGAAATTTCTCCAGTCAAAACAAAATTTGAAATTATTAGTCGTGCATACGTCGACGGAGAACAATTTCCAATTTGTATATTGCAGATGCTATCACCATTCCCAAAAGCCAAGGCTTAATTCTTCCTTCTTTATTTACTATTACTATTGATATCGGTTTATCGGTGTTTTCATGCGGCCAGGCATATGTGGCGATTTCCAGAGTTTCAAGTTTAGAAGGAGTTCATCTAATAAACTTACTTTGATACTAATAACATTAAAGCGCAAGTGTCCGCAATTGCTAAATACAACCGATTAAGGTCATTATATCATCTTGAACTTCCTTTTTGAGCTTCAACAAAAAGGACCGGATAGGAAGCATAGGAGCAATGATTGAGAGTGGACTTCACGAAAGCAAGTTTTAGGAGTTCAAGAAGACGATGGGAAACCAGTAGCAAAAAGAAAAAGACCTAATGCGCTAAAAAAAAAAGTTGAATTATGACATTATTCCTATCCTTAAAAAAATTAGTGAAATCATAACAAAAACATTTCATGTAAAAAAATGGCCAAGTACGCGAAAATACTTATCCCCAAAAAGAAGTGAAATCAAGTGAAGCCAAATTCTTCAATACGCATTCGAAAATAAAATGGTGTCAAACTTGGCGAGTAGCTACAGACAAAAAGTTCCTTTCTTCTAAATTCAATTGTTATTGTTCATTAACTGATTTCATTTGTCATGTATTTACATTTAATATAAAGTTAAATAAAGTTTTCCAAAGTAATGACCCTCTTTAAATTACTTAAAAGTGGCTCCATACATCCACAATTTATTTAGTGGCAACTATAAGCAGATCAACTATAATCTTAGATACAGTACATATACATATCATGACAAAAACATCTCATGTAAAAGAATGGCCAAGTACGCGAAAATGGCAATACAGCTAAATTTAAACCCAATTTAAAACAATAACCGTTTCAATAGGTATTTTGACTGTAGGTACTCACCAAGTTTGAAACATTTTAGAATAAATAAATAAAGCCACCATTTATTTTCGAATACGAAGAACTTGGCTTGACTTTGATTTCACTTCTTTTTGGAGATATGTATTTTCGCGTACTTGGCCATTTTGTTTTTGTTATAATATTTATGTCTGGGAAAATAAGGGTACTTGTACTTTTCATTGATCTTGTGAACCCATCCGAAAATTTTAGCCAGACTCAAAAATTCTTGCTTTGTATCACCAGGAGAACAAACTATTTATTAGACACCAACTGGGAAAAAAAGTGCTAAAAAATTTCACTGTGTCCTGGACTAATAGGCTTAGAATTACATTACAAAAAAAGTATGCGGAGAAGAAGTTCAATGAAGCATAGGGTAATGCCAGGAAAACGTGGGCAGTACTGAATGGTCTTTGTAATAGAACTAATAAAAAGATGAATATAAATCGAGTAACGGATAAAGATGGAAAGATATACAGCAAGGATGCAGATATTGCAGCAGCTTTTAATGGACATTTTCCAGGCATTGGATTGATATTATCAACTACAGTGAATAGCAGAACTGGAGTAACGTTTAAAGAAGAAGAAGAAAGAGAAAGCATTTTATTACAACACACAAACATAATGGCAGTCGAAAAAACAATAGAAGAGCTAAAACACCAGTTGTACTCCTGATTGGGATAAAATAACAAAAAAAGACACAAACACTTTCTGACATTATCGGACCTTAAATAGTAGAAATTACTAACCACATCCTAGAGAGTGGACAGTATCCTGAAGAGCTGAAGACTACAAAAATTGTGCCGGTATATAAAAAGGACGCACATGACGATTTGAATAACTACCGACCAATAACACTGCCATTTAGCAAGGTTACAGAAAAGATGATAAAAATCAGACTTGTCTCATACGCACTTTAACTTCAATAGTCATCAGTAGGGTTTTCAAAAAAGAGGTAGTACACTTGGGGCAACAGTGGATCTTCTAGAATATATTTCAAGTGAACTGTATAAAAACAGATAGGTACATTGTAAGTGTATTTATCGATCTACAAGAAGCCTTCGATACTGTGGATATTGCATTGTTGCTAGATAAGTTTTAAAAATGGGATTTCAAGGGACATGCCATAACTTACTGAAAACATACTCAATGGGTAGAAAAGAGTGCACCCATGTCAAATGATGAGATGAGCAGCGCTGAAAATGTTATTGTCGGTGTTACCCAAGGCTCAGTACTAGGACCTTTATGGATGTTTCCACCAACTATTTTAGGGGAGCTTTAACGATGAGTATTCCTTGAACTGTCATTTCTCCATGTAAAAATGTCATTTAAGGGAATACCTATTTGTTCTTAAGGCTCCCCTAAAATAGTTGGTGGAAACGGCCATTTAGAGTACCTTCTGTGTCCAAAGTCTGAAGTATGCTGGATTAAGGGCTAAATGTGTGAAATTTTGTGATGATACTGTCTTCATATTCTCTGGAGAAAATGAAAAAGAACTTGAAAATATTGTGAATGAAGATCTAGTTCGCTATTTTGATTGGCTCTCCTACAATAAACTCCAGTATTAATGTTGAAAAGACAGTTTATATGGTCCTACATCAGGTGGGAAAAAGAACAAAAAGCCCGACAAATAAAATTAATGGCAAAATTCTCAAAAAAGTGGAGCAATATAAATACAAAAATTGCTCCATTCTTGGGAGCTGTGAGGAGAGGAAGTGTAGACATATGTTAAATTAAAACTCAAACTATTCAATCTATAATAGTTTCATCGAGCCGCACTTCAGGTATATGATACCATGCTATGGAAATGCTACCCTGAAACAGTTAAAACAGCTACAAAGACTGCAAAACAAATCAATAAAAACAATATTCCCTAGGCACTGTGATACACCCAGTGAAATACTATACAGGCAGTATCCCTACCTAAAAATTGATCAGTTGAAGATCTTTGAGTTGTACTGAACTTATGTACAAAATACAAAACCACCTAGTTAAAACAAGTGTGCAGACCACACTGAATAGAGACTATCACAACTACAATCTTAGAACGAGAGAACAGATTAAAAATACCTATACTAGAACTAAGAAGGGCCAGAACGCACCCATCTATAGATGTATAACACCTAGAACAAAACTCCACCCAGATTATTAGAAGGAAAAGAAAATGCAGTAGGTATACCATAATCTCAAAAGGCTTTTTAATGACAGAAATTGGAAATGTTGATTTGTAGTCCCTATTTTAGAATAACTCAGTTATCTCTTTAAATATTTTTATCCCATTTTGACGTTTAAAAATGACATTATTGAACGCATAACAATAAAGGTAAGTAGACGTTTATCACCTCAGTGATTTAAAAACATTTTAACTCACTCTCGGCATTTTAAGTCACTCTGTCCAACTAAAAATCTGAAACCTCAGTGATTTAAAATATTTTTAACTCACTCCCGGCATTTTTCCTTGTACTTTATTTTTAAATTTCCACAAAATGGGATAAAATTTTGTATACATCACGTGAGTTAAAATGTTTATTCATTCGAAGAAAATTAACCCACTCGCTAGGGCTCGTGGGTTAAACTTTCTTTTCATGAATAAACATTCATTTAACTCACTTGGTGTATAAATAACTATTATGTAGGTAGATCTATATTTTCTGTTTTCTGTTTATAATTATTTTAGTTGAAGTCCTCGGTACGAGTTATGTACCTACTGATTTGAGGTCAAAAATAAATCCTTAAACAAAAAAATATTAAATTTTAAAAATCTGTTAATTTCAGAGAAGAATCTGGCTTAGCAAGAACCGGTGTCCTATTCGGAGGATTCATCAATGATGTTAAACGAAAAGTCCCATGGTATTGGTCCGACTTTAAAGACGCTTTAGCCTCTCAATGTATCGCCAGCTGGATATTTTTGTATTTTGCCTGTTTGTCTCCCATCATAACTTTTGGTGGTTTATTAGCCGAAGCAACGGGAAACCATATGGCAGCTATGGAATCTTTAGTATCTGGATTTGTTTGCGGTATGTTTTATGGATTATTTTCTGGACAACCTTTGACAATTTTAGGCTCAACTGGTAAATAATCAACAAACAAACCAAACCAGAAATTTATAAATACATTATTTTAGGTCCTGTATTAGTATTTGAAACCATCGTCTACGATTTTTGTCAGAAAATGGGCTGGGATTATATGAGCTTCAGATTTTGGATTGGTACATGGGTGGCTATAATTTTAATGATACTAGTCGCTATAGATGCTAGTGCTCTGGTTTGTTACATAACAAGGTTTACGGAAGAGAATTTTGCCACACTTATAGCTTTTATATTTATTTATAAGGCAGTGGAAAATGTTCTACTCATAGGCAAAAATTTTCCTATAAACACTTCAGGCACCCTGAACTTTTCTTATGATTGCTCTTGTTTGGTTAACGACTCGGTACAGGCCCAACATCCGGAAATTGCTAATTGGACGTCATTTAATAAAACAATTTGTGCTGTAAGTAATGGTTTATTATTATTAAATATTATTTCAGTATGTGATTGAATTTCAGAACCTAAACGGCACTTTGGTTGGATCTGGTTGTAACACTCCACCATACGCTCCCGATGTGTTCCTTATGTCAATTCTACTATTCCTAGGAACTTTTCTAATATCAGTTCAGTTAAAAGACTTCAAAAATTCTTTATTTTTTCCGGCAAAAGTTCGTCAATTCTTCAGTGATTTTGCCGTTATTATTGCCATCGTAGCTATGACACTCCTGGACTTTTGGAGTAATATTCCCACACCAAAACTGCAAGTACCTCACGAGTTCAAACCGACCTTACCATCGCGCGGTTGGGTCATAGCACCATTCAATCATAACCCATTTTATTCGATTTTTTTGGCAATACCTCCAGCACTTTTGGGAACGATCTTAATTTTTATGGATCAGCAAATCACGAGCGTCATAATCAACAGGAAAGAATACAAACTGAAAAAAGGTTGTGGATATCATTTGGATCTGTTTATTTTGGCCATACTTATACAAATTTGTTCGGTATGAACTTTTAGAACTGTAATTTTGCTGTGGAGAATAATCATGGACATTTATTGTAGGTGATGGGTTTACCGTGGTTCGTGGCAGCAACAGTTTTGTCAATTAATCATGTAAATTCATTGAAATTGGAATCAGAATGTGCCGCGCCTGGTGAGAAACCACAATTTTTGGGTGTAAGAGAACAAAGGTGAGAATTATTGCTCGTACTTACTCATGGTACCTACATTCTTAAAAAAATTGAATACTTTGTACAGTACAGTCAGTAAATTTTAACTTTTGGGACAAAATTGCCCCAGTGTTTATTGCTGAGATTGAAATGCATAGGTACCTATGTGTGTAAATAGTGATATGTAGTTCCAAATTGCATTCAATGAAATGTGTAGTGCGCTAGGGTGCTACGAAGCCCAATAAAGTTACAGCAAGAAAGGAACCTACATGTCCAGGAGGAACCTACGCCTTATGATGTTTTTTTTGTTACCGGATTCTGCTAGCGAGACAGGCGAATCTAGATGTTAAAATTCTATCACACAGTGTTGCTGTAGGAAAGATAGACAGCATCCCTTCTAACGTGGCTCAAAATTTTTCTGAAATAAAAATGTATTAGTTTCGACAACAACATAATGTAGATTCCCTAGTTTCACCTGGTCGACTGGTTTTCAAGCAAAGTCAGTTTTCAAACTCCTCAGTGAAGGTACTGTTTATGGAAGAAGCAAAAAAATAAGCTGTTTGAAAACAATTGTTGGTTTCCTTTAGACGTTGGTTTCTGTTTGTAACTTCTCAGCTCTGATGATGCTCTGGCATACATTTTAAAACGTCGGTACCTAATTCAATTATTAGATTAGCCAACTGAATGAAAACTGAATTTTCTTCGCTGAAAGAGGGAAGGATAAATTCACAGAAAAATCCAACTATTAATCCTGAAAATTGGAAATCTCCTGTAACAACTTTGATTTTTACCATAAGCTAACAAAAGTTTTTTTTTAGGGTAACTCACATCCTCATCTTTCTAACAATCGGACTATCAGTTTTTTTGACGCCAATGCTGGGACATATTCCAATGCCAGTACTATTCGGAGTTTTCCTCTACATGGGCGTGGCATCTCTTAAGGGTCTACAATTTTTTGATAGGATATTGATTATGTTTATGCCTAACAAGTATCAACCGGACTATATGTTCTTAAGACAGGTTTGTACAATTTTTATTCATAGTCAAGTCCAGTAGAACTTACAAGCTATGATTTTTGATGATTTACTCATATCCTGCCAACATTTCGATGTTTAATTAAGAAGAATTCTTACGGAAGTAACACACTATAGGTTAGGTATAGTTCAATGTGAAAAAATTATATCGGAATAATCGGAAAACACTGCTCAAATGATAAAATGAAAAGAAAATACACAAATCACAAGCACCTTCTTTCAGTATGAAGATAATAGGTACCTACAATTATAAATAGGAGAAAATATCATCAACTACATTATTGTCAAAGTGCATTTCTGCATCAGAATATACGATATGTGAGTTAGAAATAAAAGAGATGACCAAAGACAAAGCAGCTCGGTTGCCACGTTGCCAGCAAAGCAAAGAACCACAAGTCCAGACAGAAATTGACTAATCGAAACACGTATGTAACATATCTTTTCAGTAATAGCTACTTTATGTAGATAATAGCAATGGGAGTTTTGGGTCAATACAAAAATCGTGATAACAAAGAAACCTGCTCTCACCAGCTCATCTGCTTTTTTGTTTCCAGCAACCCCAAAATCTCCTTGGACCTGCACCTTGTTCCATTTTGCCAGATGTATCAACAGCTCATAGATTCCTAGATTTGACTCGATCGAATTCGAGTTACTTGGTTTGAGGGCCGCGTGACTGACGTGACTGTCAGAGAGTACGTTTTTTAAAGTTGATGTGCATTCTGACGTCTGATATTCTCTTAGCCAATCGCATGCATTTCGACCGGTATAATAAGTAATCTGTTCGCGCTCAGGCCAGTTTGCATCTCTTCTGTGTTAGGAGAGTAATCGATTGGGAGGTCGATCTAGAAAGTCGGCTTGATGAGTTTGATTGCATAGCTATCAGAAAAAAGTATCTTAGTTACTTTAGAGTATCTTAGTTACTTTATAGTATCTAAGATACTGTATCTTAAATACTTTTTATTTTTTGGCAAAAGTATCTAGTATCTTAGTTACTTTTTAAAAGGAGCTTGTGTGTTAAAAAAGTTTCTTAGATCTTGAAAAGTATCTTAGATATCAAAAAGTATCTCAGATACTTAGGTAAAAGCATCCTAGATACTGAAAAGTATCTTAGATACTGAGAAAAGTATCTAAGTTAACGAAAAGTTTTGAAATGGCCGTGAAAAAAGTTCCTTGAGACGTTTACCCAAACCCGACCCAACAAAATAAAACTGGTTCAAATAGTAGGTAAAAGGTAGATGGTAGGTCTGTTCTCACAAGAGTCTCTGACAGTTTGCAAACTGTCAGTAAGCATCGCCCATACATGTTTCCAATGGCGTCATTGCCGTCGTTCCAAGATAAATCGGTAACTTAGCTGACAGATTATTTCTGACAGGTTTCAAACTGTCAGAGACTCCTGTGAGAACAGACCTAAAGTCCATCGATTTTATTCTAATACTCCAAAGAAATATGAGCTGGTGGCTCCCTAAGTTAAAACTCCAATGGTTACCTGATGTCAAACCTGTTTTTGCCATTAGCTTCACCCCCTTGCTCCTCATACGGAAAGTGTCCGATTAAAAACGATGGACAATAGTGGGATTTCTGCGAGTATATTAAGATATGTTTGGTCAGTGAAGCTGAAGTACTATACAAGAAATATCATTAATCATGATAATATCTCGATTCCTGTTGATAAGAAAAATTTTGTCGACAATGGTTTTTTCGAATTTGAAGAAAACAGTGTTCATGTGGTACAATCCACCGATATGAGAAGCTGTATTGGTTTGGAGATCCTACAATATACTCAAGAAGAATTGAACCTTCTCGAATTTGGGATTTTCAAACTATAAAAATTCTTGTTTTCGAACTTGTGGACCAAACAGCAATAGCTTAATCGGTTTTTCCACTAGATACTTTTTAAAAGTACCTTTGACAGCTCTGTTTGGTTAGCATTTCCAGTGGTAGTAAGTCTCTAGACCTCCAATTCCTCGATGCGTCTGTGGTGGTCTGTGCCTCTTTTTCCATAGCGAGGGTTATCAGTTCATCAAGGACCTTATCCAGGAAGAACCGATAGGAGGGCTTTATTTGAAATCGATCGCAAATATCTGCGTGCACGCAAAGTTGTATTAATTTGTTCGTATACGCAACGTCTTATGTGCGAATAGCTTTATTTGATATTGACATTGGACGTGTGCATCTCTACCTGCGTGCATGCAAAAGATGCACTCGCTCACTGCGTTGCCAGTTTTCTTTCCACAATATGTTAAAAATCTACCATATAAAAATGAGTGGATTTTTGAATTTTATGAAAATTTGGCTGACGATTACGTATACTTTACGATGACATTTATTTATTAAGATTTTTTAGATGTCTTAAGGTTAGAATTTTTTAAAATATGTTTCGTGTTTCTTTATTTCCCCAATAAGGCAATCTAACAACCTGTCAAAAATGCCGCCTAGTTGGCAAAAAATATACAAAAAACATATGTTTTCTTTTGGCGGGATTATCAATACACTATTAGCCTATCCAAAACACGTGACTTTGACAAGCAAACAAAGGGTTTGTGTGCCTCTTGGCGGACATTTTAATTCAAGTTTGACAGCATCTTGGATAGTCTTATACACGAGGCGAGTTCTCAAATCTGTCACTTTTCTGACATCGTTGATGTGTAAAAACCCGTATTCTAACCTCATAAAAATTAAAAAATGCCAGCTGGTTGGCAAAGTCACGTGGTTTGGATCCCCTAATTGACGTGTCTCGTAATACCTGGTGTGCGCGCGCAACTCGTGGGTTGCAGGTGAGCGTCCAATGAGAATCGAGTTTGTTACGTACTTGCGTCATATTCGTATTCAGGGACGAGTTCAGAATTAATCGTTCCTTCCTTGTAACGTATAATTCGACTAAGAGTAAATTAATACTTTATCTATTACTTGAACTTACCGCAATGTCGTTTAAGGTTATTTTAGATTATACTTGACATATTCCTTTGCAATTTCATTGTGCGATGTTGCCGGATGAAACATTTATCAAAATAAAAGTGCAAACGATGTTAACATACACTTTAAAGCTCTTCTTTTGTCTGATTTGGGGCGTTGTAAAACACTTGACAATATCTTACTTCTTTAATAATATAATGTTCGATTTGTATTGTCTCCATTGTTCTGCAACAATACAATCTGGCTACACTGCAGCCTCGAGTTGCGCGCGTATGTCATTTTTCATTACTTTTTAACTTGTATTTATTACAATTAAGCTCTCTTTTTCTATTTATGCGAGACACGACAATTGACGTGTGACGGGCTTGTTGTTTTGCTGTAGTAGGCAATGACATATTCCTTATTGTTTTCTTTTTATGTTAATATACCAGCTAATCCTATCCTGCTGGCATCTGTGTATAAAATTGTTTCCCTTTTGCTGTCGAACAATGGTAATATTGGTTTGGATGATAGCGAATGCTTTAGATTTTGAAAAGCGCTTCATTTTTCTTGGATTTCTGAGCAAATTCGGGCACAAACTTTCTGAAATGTCCTGCTAGTCCAAGAAATTGTCTGACATTGTGAATATTTTTAAGTTTAGAGAAGTGTTCTATTGCACTGATTTTCAAAGGACTTGGTTGTACAACGCCGTCCGTTATTTTGTACCCTAAATACTCATTTCAGTACTAAGGAAGTTACACTTCTCTATATTCAAGCAAGCTCGATGAGCTTCTAGACGTTGCAAGACTTCTTCCAGCTTGAAGAAACCTTCTTCGATAGTGGTAGAGGGAATTAATATGTCGTCGAACCAAATATACCAACACTTTGTTTAATCTGAGTTCTCCCAATATGATGTATACAGTTCCTTGAAACACGTAAGGTGCATTTGTGAGCCCAAATGGTACTTTTAATCATTCATATTTACCTTCTGGCGTTACAAATGCGGTAATTGGTATTGATGCTTAATTTGGTGGTATCCAGATCGAAAATTCAAGATGGTAAAATATTTTTGGCCTGATAGACGATCAATGAGGTCTTCTATAATTGGTAATATATAGTTTTGTTTATTGGTTGTTCGATTTATACGTCTGAAATCAACACATAACCTAGATGATCCGTTTTTCTTCTTTACCATGATCACGGGGCTAGCGTAGCAGGACTTGGAGGGCCTAACAGTAACATTTTGAAGTTCCTGAACTAATTCTCGAAGACACTTTTTTCTCTTTGATTAACGATAAGGTCAATGAAGAATTGGAACATCAGATTTCAATTCAATTTTCATTTCAATGCCTGAAATAGTGCCAATTTGATCCGATTCCTGCGGAAAACACTTTTTATATTTTTAGATAATTTTCTGAATTTTTCTATAATTTGTTTTATCTTCAATTCCAATGTGAATTACTTGTGTAGCAATCTTGGCTGAAATCAAATTTACCGTGCGAGTAGGATAGAAATTTACCTTTGTTCCTGTTCATGAATATGAAATGTTTAAGTTCTCAGTAAAATCCAGTCCTACTACAATATCAATAGTGGGAATACAGTACTCGACTAATAAAAATTCGACATTCAAGTCAACATTATCAATAGATGCATTGCATAATACTTTATCTTCGACGTCAATTTCAAACCCGGTAAAAACTGTAAAAATTGCTCTAAATTTTTCCATTTTATTTTCCAGTTTTATTTTTTTAACCATGTGGTAGGCAATGAGCGAACACTCGCTACCAAAATCTTTAAAACAATTTGATGACACACCATTATTTCAATTGTCCTATAGAATTTGTTCTTTGCCTCCTGTGCAGAAACCAGAAACACCTGTTTTTGTGGTCGTTGAGAATCATTTTGCTGTTTGTTTTGGTCAAAATCAAAGTTTTTCTTATTCTTCTTAAAACATCGTTCAATAGTATGTCCCTTTTTCCTGCAATAATTGCAGTGTAAATTGAAATGCGAAAGCTTGTTATTAGTTCGGTTACATTTACAACAAAGAATATTTGCCTTTGTTTGTTGAGATGGTATATAGAATTTAGGAGGTGT